AGGGCGAAACAGCCTTTTCGTAATTTCGCATTTTCATTAAATTTCTGTATGTTATACATTTTTCCAGATCTGAGCTCATATGAAGGAATATGGGGAGAGCCTGTAAGGAAGCGCTGCGGAATTGGAGGAGGGCGGATTGTGGAGCCGGTTGCCGAGCAGGGTTTATGAAAACCTATGGCAGACGATGAGCAGGAGCCCCTCTACAACCACGATATAGAATATATGATTCAACAATAAATTATTTCTATCGAAATGTGTCTTATGATATAGCATTGAAACGTGCCAGTAGTAGAGTTCATAAGACAGACAGACAGACAGACATGACAGACAGACATGCACACATTTATGACTGAGCCCTCAGGAGGTATGAAAGAAACGGCATTGTGTGCGTATGGGGGGATCGTCCCAGATTGCCCAGACTAAATACTAGTAAGCGCGTGACCATCAAACCTTCCGGTGGACCATGGAGCCCTTGATGGGTACACATATGCTGCACATCCACAGCAGCACAACGAAACTTGGCTTTTCATTGAAACGATGAGGGGCAAAATGTTTCGGTGATATGTGTAATAAGGGATCAGCTTATGTTTAAAATTTGAGTTTGATCCGTGCAGTATGGAGGTAGTTGACTTGTCGAGGACGGCGCCGCAGCTGTACTTCATGAGCGCCTGCTGCAAGGGGCCGTCGCAGGCGAGGTGGGCGTGGCCACACGTGGGCTTGCAAGCGCGAAGAGCCGGCGCGATGGGATGGATTTTGGATGAAGAAGTGCATCTACAGGGGGTGAGCTGTATGTCGGCTGGCAGTGAACATCATGGGAAATGACCAGCACCGTTGGAATTCAGCATGGTCGAAAACCCCCGCGGGTCCGGATTCCAACTGTTCTTCTTCTCTTTCTCTGAAAAAAAAAACTTTTCCATCCAACTGCAACAATTTTCTGCCTTTCCCAATGGATAAGGCAGATGTGCGGTCTTATCGCACAATGTGCGGTTAGACCGCACCGATTTGGCTGGGCAAAATTTGAGCCGATAATTAAGAATTTGTGCCTTTCCAGTGTGTATGGTAGATGGCAGTTTTGATGTGAGATATGGTGTGGTGTGTGCAGTATGCACACATTACACCACGAACAACGCCAGCATCAATCAATAGCGCCGTTTTCGTGGAAATTGCTACTGGTGTGTATTCCATTCGTTTCTGTAGGTTTTTTTTTGTAGTTTATTCGCTATAGCGCTGTAGTGTAGGCCCAAAGGTATAAGCCTAAGCCTATGCGTACGCATAAGCCTAAGACTAAACCTAAGCCTATGCTTGAGGCTGTGCTCCGGGATGAGTGACTTATACCACAAGCCTAAGCCTGAAGCTACGCTGAGGCTTTGGCTTCTCCTGTTGGGTCTGCAGTGAGCAATTTCTAGCCTAAGCCTAAGCCTAAGGACTGGTTCACAGGCTTTAAGCTTGAGCTTCGGGTAGGATGCGCTCATAGCAGGCCTAAAACTTATGTTTCTCTGCTTCGTTTCTTAATTTTTTGTGTAGGCATAATCTTAGGCCTGTCTTGGGCTTATGCTTGCAGATAGGCTTAGGACTCACCTATGACATTTATTGGACCAAGCCTAAGGCTAAACATAAGCTTGAGCGTCGGCCATAGGTTTATGATTAGCCTTAGGCTTTGGGGTCTCCTGATAAGAGGGAAGCGGAGTAAGAGGCAGAGGAAGAGGTAAATCAAGGAAGTGAACGCGTATCTGGTATCGCTCATTGTTTTCAACATGTATTTCTGACTGTTATTGTATTGAGAATGGTATTTGGACGCTTGTCTCGCATAATCGTACTTCGCGTAATATACGTACTCTATATATTGCATGTTGGATGTCATGTCGCACTGACAGACCTGAGACTTCTGAGGGTGTTTATGTGGTTAATTATTTCGCTATTTTTCGAAAATGTTGTGGTGGTATGCGACGAAACTTGCGTAGAGTGGGGTTTGGTCTTAACAAACCACAAATGAGACTCATACATTCCTGCTTTTGAAACACACACACACACCAATTGCTTGTCCTCACTCCCACCCATGATTGGCTGCACTCTCCTGGTTCTGCGGATTCCTCTGATTCCCATAACATCATAGCAGCGGGTCGTTTCCTGTTCACTGCGGTTAAGCTGACGTGCCCTTCTTTGATGAAAATTTCCGCTTACGTTTGTAAATCGACGCAGGTACGGGTGTGGTGCACTAGGACGGAAAACAATTTTTCTGGGATCTTGGGTCCATCGTTGATTCACTGCGGGAACCTCGGGTCCACTGATGATCAGCGGTGGACCTGAGGTTCCCGCAGCGGAAATGTTTCGCGCTGCGAACGCAAACAAGTCACTTTCTGTCCTAGTGAACCACACTCTTCGCGCTCCAACCGCGAAACCAAACTTTTATCACTCACAGTTCATTGTGGTTCACTGGGACGCAAAGCGACTTTTTGCCGCAGCGCTAAACATTTCTCGCTGCGGGAACTTCGGGTCCACCAATGATCTGCGCTGGACCAGAGGCTCCCACAGCGAATGTTTATAAAACCGCGAAGAAGTCGCTTTCCGTTCAAGTGAGCCATACCCGACTTCTATTTGCTTGTGTGGGAGCATCAACCACGTATGGGACGGTCGGCTTAAAGTTCGTGTGCGGAACAGACAGGAATCGTTCGATTATTTGAATTTGGAGACCTTCTATTTATTTCCAGTTGTGAAACTCTTGCTGCCGTTTTTCCTCACAGATATTTTGTTGCCGTTTTTCTCACTCATTTTACTCTCTCGTGCCAAATAGTTCACAATCAAATATTAGTGTGTGATGAGATACGTGGCCTCACACAGCTCTTTTTTTTCTGTTGACATCAACTAAACGCTTGCTCTTGTTGATGTAAAAAGGGAACGAATGAGAGGATGTGCTCTATTTGGAGAGCTATTTTCTAATGATGTGTTTCAAGTGGTGCGGAATCGTAAGAATTTCCTTTCGGGAATTTTTTTTTCGTTTCCATAAAGAAAGACAATATGCGATAGTGCCAGACAACAATGTTACTGAAGATACTGGGTGATCCTTGTTGAAGACTTATCGAGCGACTTCCCGTTTAGTTGACCTCTCAGTGTTAACACAATAGGGTGCATTGCTAAAGTACAGATGAAAACGTGCTTTTTTCCAAAAATTATTCGTTTGAGTCAACATAATCACAAAGATTCCGGACGCATTAAACATCTTGCTAGCAAATCTCCTTTAGATAGCCACTTTGCGCCTCTATCGCCTAATCGATTTTGGCGGATAAGACCCCAGGTGCCTGCCAAAGTACTGGGGCCGTATCCTGAGCTCTTCTCAGATGACCCCGCTCATCCCATCATCCCGACTAGGGGACAGGGTTGCGGCAGAGGAACACCCATACTCTGCGTTTTCACACTGCGGACGCGGGACCCCTCAAACAAAGACTGCCTCAACAGGGTATCGTTGCTACACGATTACACGTTCAATGGCAGGTGCTATGACGCAACCCTGTCCTACCCCTCCCCCTGAGTTCGCTGGGCCCCGCCAGCGTGGGAACCTGACATGAGGATGCATATAAGTGGAAATGCAGTAAAAAACGAAGAAATTACGAAAGTATCAGGTTACATGAAGATGCTTCCACTAGCCATTGCTTTCCAAGGCTTAGTAGTAGATAGCATGTTCGTTAAAGGAGTTATTCACAAGAGGCAGCAGAATTACTTGTGATGCTTATGACGCTCTTTTCGTGGGTTTTTCGTAGTTTCTAAAGTGCTAAAAATTTCATCGTTGTGTGTTTAAGGTACACAGAATCGGATACCATTAATAATGGCCGCTGATGAAGTCAAACAGACATCTGAGCAGCAAATGCGTACGCTGCAGTTCAATGACAAGGTGTCACGGCTTAACCGAGAATTTATCCGCCAGCTTCAAGAATGGTATAAACAGTGTGCTCACTATGATTTAGTGAGTTTTCTTTATCTGTTTAGCAGTAAAATTAGATTTTCCTTCTTTTTTGAGTCTGTGTTCTCTTTTCGACATTAACGGGATACGTGTGTGAGTCGCTAGGATTCCAGAAGGAGGGGGGGGGTTTTTTTTTGGCCTGTGGGTTGGGGGGGGACAACGCGGGTAAACTGTATCTTGCAAAGGAAAACTGACCGGGCGATTCATTGAAATTTGTTGACTTCTGGTTCTTCAGCATGGCTCAAGGAGTTATGATGTGTGATACGTGCGTAGACCAATCGTGTGGCTATATCAGATATTGCCTAAGTGAGTATACTATAACACAAAGATAATCTTCGTTAGCATAATGGAGGTTTTCATTAAAGTTAACGGAGGATAGCATTAGACTAGAAGGTGTTTTGAAGTTGCTCTATTGCAGGTACAGAGTTTACGAACTTGACGAGTACGCTTGCTGGCTTTACGTCGAGGAAGAAGAGAAGTGAGTAGATCTTACTTTTTTCTTTGGAGAAGGATTCGGTTGTTATCATTTCGAGAAGATATCAGTTTTCTTTAAAAGGGTTTCTTCCATATTGGCTTTGCACATTCATGATTCTTCGGGAACCTTGCTGTTTATTCTTTGTTCTTTTTCTCAACTATGATAGGTATTAGGGTCTGATTTACTAGGACAGAAAGCGACATTTTGGCGATTTGCTTGCGAAACATTCTTTGCTGCGGGAACTCCAGTTCTACGCTAGACGCTAGCGAAAAAGACGCTTTCTGTCCTGGTAAACCAAATTCTAGAAAGTCGTTCTGGGTTAGATTTTACCCTTTCTGGCTTTATCATTTCTAAGCAGACAATCTGGCTTTAATCATTTCTAAGCAGACACTTTCCCATGCTGTTATACGGTTGGCTTATTGCAGACTGCGCAGCATCTATACTTGATGCTGCGCTATGTTGCAGTTGGTGCAGCCCTTCCCTTGGTTCCTTTAAAATGTTGTGGAGGGAGGGATGGGGAAAGACTTGGAACCTGTTTTCCCTTTCGCAGGACCCACTTGGAAACGGTCGCACCTGTGATTTTTGCAGTCCTGTTCCGATCCTTTTCTATTATTGATTATATGGTGGATTGAGCACCAAAAAAGTGAAAGAATGAAAGCAAGGCTGCAAAATCAGAGGTGAAGCTCCTGCCCAGTGGGTCCCGCGACGGTACTATGACGATTACGCAATACTTGGGTGGTGTGGCACGCTTGCTACTTCTATTGGGACTGACTCTTAAAATTACCGGGGGGGGGGGGTGGGGAGCGACAGGTGTTCAGATAGGGATGACTCTCAAAATTACCGGGAGAGGGGAGAGAGCGACGGTGTACTTACTTTTACGCCCTTAATCATGCGTTCATAGCTCATCAATAGCAAGGGGTGAAATATAAAATGGACTGAAAAAATCACTTTAGATGAGGTTTGACACACTGACGAAAGGTGTAGTACTTAAATGATTTCATTGTCACCATATAACATGGTCTACCAGAAAACAAGGTTAACTTGTGATAAGTGGTGCATTTACGGTTCCATACTGCGCTGCGAAGAGCTGGATAATCGCTTTTTGTCCTAGCAAACCACACCCGTTACGTTATACGCTTATTCAATGTATCAAAGTTAAGGATGCCTAACTAAAGCTTCACTACGCTAGGTTATCTTCCAACGATTCAGTACACTGTTACGAAGGAGATATCTGGTTTATTTCAGATTGCATGAGATCGCTGCCAGAGTGAATCTTCGTTGAGTAATTTTACTAATGCTTCACCCAGGCCAGGATTCTTCATCATGATTGCCATGTTTTGTATTGCATATATTTCAAGTAACACTGTACATGTATTAGTGAGTCACTCTTTTCGATTCTAGAAAACCAATAATGCTTTAAGCTTATCATTTCATGATTTAAAAAAACGAGTTCAATGAATGTTTTGTTCAAAAATTTGTTTAACAGTTGATTCAAAGCTTTGTAATAGGGAGATGGTTTGCTTGTTGCACGTCGTTCATCAGTCTTCGAAATAAGTGCCACTAAGCACCTCCGGGCAGTGGTCGCGATACACCTCATGCTCTCGTAAATGAAAGATCCACTGTGAAGAGAGCCTTACCTAAGTTGACAACAAGAGCAGACAGACTTCCCTAGAGACATATCAGTACTTGAACGTACCAAATGAACCCCATTGACGTGGGGAGGGGGAGGGGGGTCTTATTTGACGTATAGTGAAAGTTCCGGTTAAACCTCTCCAGTGTGGTTCTGTGTTATCTTTCACACTTGCAAGTACCGACTAGAACGAGTCGTTAATGGCTGATGATCGGTAGACAATCCAATAGGAATTAGGGATTTCAACGTCGAAGTTCAAAATACAAAGTGTTTGCCTTTCAGAATTTTAGCATTTTCTTGAATTTTTTGGTTGTTACCTTGAAATATTTCGTAGTATTTGACAAAGTTTTTCGTCCAGTATTAAATTCTTCTACAGTTCGCAC